CTTTTTAATCATTTAATAATCCAACTAGATAGGAAATCTTCAAGAGAATTCGAACGGATCTGGAATATAGCCCAATAAATTTGTGTTTTGAAAGATATGGCGAATTAACCAAATAAAAGTGAAAATTTCTTAGGCAGAGGCCGTGCATATCCTTTCATTGTGACGTTGTACAACCGCTCAAACCTTGTACATATTTTTTCAAATTCTACATTAGCGTCTTTCAATATAAATTGTGAGGAAATCCAGATTTTCAGCAGCACTGATCCGTAACAACGCTCTCGTTATATACGTTTATAAAGGCAATTTTCGTATATAGTTGTAACAGAAATTATTAATAATTTTTTTTACGAAAATCTATAAGCAACTTGTCGATGTGGTCATTACTAATTTCAGACCTACACTGAACTGCCAGAAGTACATCGAAATATCAGCAGCATCTGCTGCTCCTATGCAGACACTCATTGAAGTGCTAACCACTCATGCAGCTGCTTAACCATCAATGCTGTGGTTTCAGGCGGTGTGGAAGGTGACAGTAATGTAGATAGAGATAGGTGCAGAGTGTAGCAATAGAGCAGGTGTAATTGAAGTCATGAAGGAAGTGTAAATCACTTTATCTGAGGTGGCGAGAAAATGCAGGGTTTTGTTAGAAATTTCCCTGGCTTCTTCCGTTCGTAATTCTCATAAGAATAGTAGGAATGTGAAGACGTTAGGGCTGTTGGAAGCAGTGGCTTGAGATCATCACTAGTGTAGAGTAGGTTCAGGCGAAGGCGGGAAGGTGGTCTCCAGAAACTGAACACAATTTCTATTTTAATGCCTGGAAAAAACCATGCTAATGTAAAATATTCAATCAAGAAACTATTCGAGTTTTAAATATATCATTATAAAATAATAATAATTCCATCAAAATATTTATCTATTGACGTGCTCACACAACAGCCTAAATCCTAACTACAAAAGAAGTACCAGGAAAGAGGGAATTAGGCAAACTCTTAGAGAGAGAGAGAAAAGAAAATCAACCAGCCCAAACCACGGCTACTTTGACAACAATAAATATTCAATAAGCTCAAACGCGCCAGCCATAATGTTGGGAGAAAACATGATTATACATACATTTATATCACATAAAATGAGTACATTTCCGGTCACGGTAGCCAAAGGTCTAAGGCTTGGAAGCCGGGATCGTGGGTTCGAGTCTAAATCAAGGCATGGGTGTTTAGTTTGTGTGTGCGCATTTTTCTGTGTTTGTGTACAGGTAGAGGCTTTGCGACGAGCTGATCACCCGCCCAAGGTATCCTACCAAATATGTAAGATCTAGAAAAACCGAAGTGAACGGAGAAGTTCATGCAGGTAGACCTACGCCCACTGGGGCTGTAGTGCGAAAGGAAGAAATGAGTACATTAATGTGAAGAAAATACCGTTATTAAACACGATTAAAAAGGTTTTGATCCAAACAAATCAATTTCCTTGTAAACAACATTAGCAACTGAAGCGACTCTAACAGAGGGGCATCTTTACTTACGGAGCAGACAAAGAACAAAGCACTATGTATAATGTAAGTAGTAGGATATCGAAGAGAGTCAGTTTCCAAAAGAGAATTGCAAAATTTTGACGGAAAGTGAATTTAAACAAGGGATAGTGTGCGAAGTGTACAGTTGTAATAGGTCCAAAGCATGGGAATAACTGCAATGAACTTTAAGAATAAAGCGACTGAAACAGAAGACTGCAAACTTCTGCTGGACGCATTCTACTTCGTTCGCATCAGTGGAAGTAATTCAATTCCCGAACACGAGAGGATTATTTAAGCTTCGATCAATTATACCTGACGTAAAATATAATAAGCACATATATTCAAGAGATGAGAAGGAAAAATTGGTGTTGCAAGCTACTGATGATGATGATAATGATAATAATAATAATTAAATTCAATTCAACTCTTTTTTATTTACGTGCAAACTTAACAGCACAGAGACCAATAACAAAGCTAGCACGAAGAGAGAAATACACAAAAAGAATTAAAAAACAAAATACAAAAATGAGAGTCTATATTAATTACACAGTTAGCATGAATAAAGATACAGAAACAAACATGCACACACAAAGCCACAATGTGAGAATTTGATTTTCAAATAGAGCAGCATACAATAATAATAATAATAATAATAATAACGTAATTAATGAAAATAACAATAATATAATAGTTTAATTAGTTCAGCATAAGATATGTTTCATCAACAGAGTTTTTGGTCCAAAGACGTCAGCGTCCCTACACACAATATTAGCAGCAGAAGCGCATCTAGCAGAGGGGCAAATTTTACTAACAGAACAGACATTGAACATAGGAAAGTCTCGGATATATCGAACAGGGACCCGAAGGTAAACAATTTCCAAAGCAGAAGGGCAAAGTAGAGAATCACGATAAACTTGAATAAGGAAGAGCGCATCAAGATGATATCTCCTCTTTTGCAAGGTGTGCAATTTCAATTGTTCTAAAGCAAAATCGTAACAGTAATGTACTTGAGGAAAAAAACGTTTAAAACAGAGAGCCGTAAATTTCTGCTGAATGCATTCTAGTTTGTTTGCATCAGTTGACGTAATGGAATTCCAAACTACTGAAGCGTATTCAACCTTGGATCTAACTAAAGTAAAATATAAAATGAACATGCATCCAATGTTTAAATAGTTAAAGTGATACTGCGAATTATACCTAACATCTTTATACAGTGTGAAAAAATAAAATTAACATGATCATGAAAATGAAGTTTAGAATCAAGGTATACGCCCAGGTCTTTCACTGAATATGTCCGAGTTATAGTGAAAAGAAGAAGTTTGTATTCGTATGTCAATAGTTAGTTTTCCTAGAGATCCTTATAACTTTGGTTTTGTCAGCGTTGAGTTTCATATAGTTCGCTGCACACCAGCTACGTATACAGTCAACGTCAGATTGCAGAAGATTACAATCTACAGGACAGCTACTAGCAATGTAAATTTTAATGTCATCTGCAAGGAGTAGGTATCTGGAGTGCTTAATTGAATCACACAAGTCGTTTATGTAGACATTGAAAAGCAGAGGCCCAAGAACAGATCCTTGTAGAACACTGGACAATACTTCGAAGGGCGATGAAATAGTTTCACCGATACGGACCAGCGATTGTCTGTTGGTTAGGTAACTGTGTATCCAGTTTACATAATCACCAGAAAATCCAAGGTCACACAGTTTGGGAAGAAGCAAGGAGTGGGGAACGAGGTCGAAAGCAGAAGTTAAGTCAAAGTAAAGGCATCCATCTGATGTGGATTATAGGTGTGATATATTTGTTGCAGGATGTCCCCAATTGCTGTCGGAAATCACAGAGAAACAGTTAAAGATATGGTCCTGGCTGATTATCAAGTACCAAAAGGAGTAAGTATTTTACAAATCCAAGATAAGTTTTTCCTGCCTTATGACGTAATATGGTTTTATTTCATATGTCAGGAGACTGTATTTTGAATTCTCGCCGCGGTGAGAAATAAGATCTTATATACAGATAAATGATCGTTATGTGTCGTCATAGAAACTTCATTTCTCGAGTTTGAGCAGGTTTCAAGAGAACTTTCGGCCACTAAATGACCGGCATTAGGCGAAATTACATATGCATCACAAAGTTGCAAAATCTGGTGATGAGTCAGTTCTCTCTAGGACGTCCACAGCGAAGTTTTTGTGTGCTATTCGGTCACTCGGTTCTAGTGCCTGAATCGTCTGAATCTAGTACACTCTTACGCGTAACCTTTTGTGTAGCACATCGTGCACTGCTGAACGCGGGATTTGTACGTAGCTGTAAGCTAGCAGCACGGATTGATCTGCGCTGACTTCGCTGGAATGCCTCTCTAATGCGATTGACATTTTCTTCAGAGGTCCGTATCTTTCCAGGGGATTTTACACGCAACAGACTACCTGTAGTCCTCAGTTTGTTGTCCCAGAACCGAATGGTTTTCCGTGTAGGAGGCCGACGTCCATATTGCGTTCCAAAACGATGCTGGACAGCCGTAAAAGATTGCAATTCTTCTAGCCACAGCACGCATTGAACCTGTTCCTGTGGTGTCAACATTGTTTCTGAGCTTGCCGAAAGTCATCAGCTGGCGCATTCGTGCAAGCCGGGCACGGAAAATAACTTTCAGAATTTTACATTCTGATGATGTAAACCGTATACTTGTATGAAAATTAGTTTCAGAATATGAATTTTCTATTTTGGATACCTTTCATCCGGATATTCTGTATACACGTGTAAATCAATCGAGATATATTTCAGTCACATAAAGTACAGAAAATACTCTGCCAAAGACCCAGTTCTACTAACAATTGGAAAATTCTCATTAGTCGTCATATTGCTGTTATTAACAAGAAGAAGGTGATAAGCAGAAGTCACTGGGCGGATAAAAATTTCAGTAGGATGATCATCATAACAAATTTGGTGAAAATCGAATAATTACAGTCATTTATGTACTGATGCTCCAAACTCCGTCTTATGTGCAAACCATATTATATAGGTCTTTCGTTTTGCTCTCCTTTACACACAAACGAGACGAAAACGAAATACCTATATTATATGGTTTGCACTGAAGACGGAGTTTGTACCATGTATCGTATTGAGTGCAACAGGATGCTTAAATATAATACTGATGCTCATTTAATGAATCCGTGTGTAGGCCAGAATGCATACCATTGAAAGATTGTATGACAGCGAACAATTAATCGGAAATTATGTAATCGTGGCTTATTTTGTAATACGATTCAGGTGTTTGCTTGGAAGGACTCAGTTCCGTCCAAGATTCTCATCAGACACGTCTAGAATACAAAACGCTTTTTTCCTCAGCCAGCTTTCCCAGTGATGTCCATAGTATGTATAATATCTGACTATACAAAACTTATTTACAAATACGACCATCTGCTCTTGCAGACTAACATCATCATGCCCCTCCTAATGCTGAGTAACTTGGAACAGTATTGCCCAGAAGCGGAGAAATTCATCCCAGAGCGGTGGCTGAAGACTGAACCGGAGCACAGCAAGAGAACGCACCCTTTCGTGACAATGCCTTTCGGGTTCGGACCAAGAATGTGCTTAGGCCGCAGATTCGCTGAGCTGGAGATAGAAACATTAGTGACGAAGGTATGTTGACATGCGCAGTTGTCCAGTATCTTCAGTATCATATCTTTTCTACCTCTCTACTGTTTGAGGATCCAGAATGGACTAATCTGTCTCAGGTTTGCGACCTGTACCGGACTTTTTTACTAGCTTATTAAACATTTGGGTTCATGAAAGGCGAATAAATTCTTCATTTTCTGTTTTCCTTAATTTAAAGAAGGACCTCTGTAGAAGCAGTCAGGTGGCTATGTACTCTCTAGACGATGGGCATAACTGTTTGTAAGAAAATACAGTGGAGCCTCGCTTAACGGGTACTCTCACAACGAGTAATTCGCATAACGAACAAAACAAATTTTAAAAAGTAACTCGGTTATCGATCGTCGTTTCGCATAACGAGTGAATAGAGGGGAAGTCCCTGATTGTGCTCTTGCTACATCAGTCTGTGTTTAGCACTCGTTCCACTAGCATCTTAGTGTCGCTTGTGATCACACATTTTTCCTCACTTTTGTTCAGACATATTATTTGTGACTTTTTTATGTGCAAAAATGTTCCCGAAGAAAAAGCCGCAGAAAGGCAGCCATAAGAGAATAAAAATAACCGTAGAAATGAAACGTAAAATCATTGAAAAGCGAGAACGAGGTGTGAGCGTGGCTGATCTAGCACGCACATACAATCGGTCTACATCAACGATTTGCAGGATTTGGAGTTGCATTGCGTTTCACAGTAAGAAGTTGTGGAGGAGAGTTTGTCAGAGGAGGAGGACGTAACAGCAAAGCAACAATCTTCTGGCGCAATAAGAGAAATGCTGAAAGCATGGAAAACTCTTGTATCGTGCATTGAGAAGCATCACCCTAATAATGAAGTAGCTATGAGCGCTATAAATTTATTTAATGAAAATGCTGTGTCGCATTTTCACCAAATTTTGAAGCTTCGGCAAAAACAAATGTCTCTAGACAGCTTTATAGTAAAAAAGAATTAGATATGTATCATAAATAATAAACTAATTACTTCGATTACTTTTTTGTTTTTTGCAAATCGAATTCGTATTCCAGGTTGGTTCATTCCGCATAGAAGAAAAGTTGAAGATGATTCACGCTCCTTAACAATGTATATATAATTTTCTTAGAATAAATACTTATAAATAAAATGATCTGAGTATTTTTTTCAGCATGGAACGCATTATCGTATTTAACATTAATTTATATGGAAAAAATTGTTTCGCTTAACGAGTGTTTCGCATTACGAGTAATATTCTGGAACGGATTATGCTCGTTAAGCGAGGTTCCACTGTAATTCTTAATTACAAATTAGCACCAGACTAAGGGTGACGGCAGTAATGGAGCAAGACGTGATGTGTTAGCAGGGTAGCAGATATTAAAATTAGTGTATCCTGGTTCATGTGGCAGTTTCTTATCTTTGAAAGTCATAAAGTAGGTTTCTCCGTAACGTCGGTACATATGGACCAACCTATATTTCGTTACATCCGACAAAACCGTAATCTAAACGACTCGAAATGTGAACGTTGACTTCTGTAACACAGATCGTTAACTCTATTCTTTTTCCTTGGCACTACAGCCCCAGTAGACCTAGGCCTACCTCCAAGAACTTCTCCGTTCACTTTGGTTTTTCTACATCTTACACATTCGGTAGGCCTCCTTGGGCGGGTGATCAGCTCGTTGCAAAGCCTGTACCTGTACACAAACACAGAAAAACGCACACACACACACAAACTAAACATCCATGCCTTGAGAAGAATTCTAACTCACGACCCAGGTTTCCAAGCGAACGAAAACAGTACTTAGACCGCTCGGCTACCGTGACGGGCTCGTTAACTATATACCAGATATAAAAATATATAGAACGAAATGTTGGACAATTGAATGAAACATTAATTTTAAAGAAAAGGGAAGATGTATGCGATTCGTACACTTATCTACATAAGTAAAGAACTACTTCGCTATATACGTGTATTAAAAACCTTCGAAAATAAAAAGTCAACAGTGGTCTTCTGAAATGTGTCCTGAATTGACTGAAGTGTAATATAATTCAAAATAATTAAAAGGAATATCTTTCCACACGTGAAACGTAAGAAAGTACTGATTTAGTGTAGACTGCATTAGAAAGAGATATGTTTGATTATTCTGTTACAAATTCTCTTTTAGTCTGTATTATTGGACGAACAATTAAATCATAACATACATTCTGTCCCGTGTTAATATTTTACGTGTCTTATGAAGCGGGTTTAGGATTTGATGATCGAATTCACTGCACCTTCATACAACTTGTTACAAATTTAAAAAAGTCACTGTCTTCGACTGGATATTCTCAAGTCCTGACCATACTACACTGATTCACTACTCTCCCTCACTCTCTTCGGCCTGGGTTTCAGGCTATATAGTCTCGGGTAGGACCACAGAACAGAAAACACTTCTATTGCCTATAAACGGATGTCCTCTATTGTTGCTTATTCGTTGGAAGGTGTTTACCGAGCAACGGGCTGCTGAACAAGAATCTTCCGGCGCGGGAAGGTGTTATTCGAGCCTCTACCTAGCAGTAGTCTATACGTCACAATATATACTGTAGCATATAGACCAGCAGAGGAACGCTCTTTCCTCGGCGGTCCGGGTCGAGATGGTATAAGGAGGGGCATTTTGTTATATCCTCAGAGAGGATGTTACATAAGGACCATGACAGCAATGGCTCAGTTACAAAAAGAATCTTAGGTCGTGTTCCTCATGGGGCTTGGCGCGAAGACGAACCGATTGAGGGTAAATTGCCAGTCGTAAAGTAACTTTGACCGTGGCTTGTTGCAGTCAGTGCACCGATCAATAGACCGATCCACCCTGTTCCTCGGGAATGTAAATACGTGGACCTCGCCCTCCAGGTTGGGGAGTTCCGAATCTGAGACGGTAAAATATAATCATAAGTCCTGCGGGACACGGACACGAGAATGACTGCGCTGGCGAGGCCGATCAACAATTGTAAACAAGAGATCCGTCCTCTAGTCAGAAAGGAATCCCCACATCATAAAACCCGTAACTCTCTGAGAATAATAAAATCTGGCCTTGAGCCCCAGGTAGGTGCTGGACACCAAGACAGGCTGACAGGCTGACCGACTGACGGTCGGTCGTAACATATCTTCGTTTCTGTAGCTTAGTTAGTTAGTTAGTTAGTTAGTTAGTTAGTTAGCTGATATAGGGGGTTCAGTTGTTTGCTGATGCTGTGAGAAGCTGGTAACAGAGGCTGAGGAAAATTCGGGAGCCCAGAGCAAGGGGAAAGGTCACCGCTTAGTTCCCCTACCAAGCAATGGCTAGCGAAGAACACAGGACATTGAGAAGAACTAGTGTTTCCTATATCTATCTGTAAAGTGTGTAGAACAGTTAGAGCTTAATACTTACTTGTAGTTAGGAGCTGAAGTGTTCAATAAATACCATCGCCAATCAAAAACCAGTGTATAAAAAAGTAAAGATACTCCTGTAACAGGCCGTGGAGGCGTGGAGGCGTATAGGGTTGTGAGACGTCGAGGATCCCATATTTTCTTGACAGTTGGCTCACAGATGTCGGTGAGAATTCAGTTTTAAGAGCCCGAAGTTCCTTACCCCCAAGGCAATTCCTGGTACTTATTTCTGTTAGAGGTTACGTCGACACCAGAGAGACAGTGCGGCTGGAAGGATTAGGTCAATTGAAAAATTTAATGACCTCATCGGTAATCGAATCTGTGACCTTTCGACTTGTAGCACGGTATTTTAATCAACTATCCTACCGGGTGGCCCCGAACCCCGTCTATAGTCATGCCATAACGTGACATTTTGATGTCTTATTTATTTATTGCGCTAAGTTTCCTCTTCGCGCCTTTTTCAGATACATATGAGTGAAAAACTGCAATTAAATATAGCTCACCTTTCATATATTATATATATTCTAACTTTGTAACTGCTTTCAAGAGACATTGATGATGGGAAGGTAAATATAAAAATGTCTGACCAAACGCAATATATTTCAATTATTTTTTGATCATAATTTAATGTGATAAATTTATTTTAATAATATCAGACAGATTCAAGAATTATATTTATGTATATCAACTTTAGTTTTAATTTTCACCGAGTTCCAATAACGTGTGTAGTAATAAGTGTACAAGATTATCCAAATTCATAATATATCATAAAATTCTTGAAATCGAGGAACATATCAGGGGTAGGAATTATTTTAAATATAATATAATAATAAATAATTTGACATTATGTGATTCAAGTTAGAGTTCTCTATGAAACATCTGTTGTTAAACACATTTCATGTGCTTGTATGTATTAGTCGATAATATGAAGCTGCGAGTAGTACTTCTTATTCCTGAAGTTCTCTCCAATGCATACGTATTGTGTGATTATTGTGTTCTGTTTCTGTGAATACTACAGTGCCCTACTATATATGGTGGTCCGAAATCGTTATGTATTATGATTATATTCGGTTCTGTGCAGAGCGTACTACTGAATATAGGATGCGTAAAATATGTAAAATGTTTTCATCTAATGGTAACTAAATGCTTATGTTCTGCGTGCTGACAGCTAGACTGTTAATTCATGTACGGTTGTGGTGATAGTTTTGAACTAGACTATAACTAACGTACACTACCAAACAAAACAAAAACTAATTTTCATAACTGATTAACACTGTAATTTTATTTTCAGATTATCCGCAACTTTATTGTTGAGTACAACCATGAAATGAAGTTCGAGAGTAAACTGCTCCGGATACCTGTTTCACCACTAAAGTTCAAAATGATTGACAGGGAATAATTAAATATTTCTGTTGATTTATTCACGTCTACGTTCACAGAGATGAAAAATTCCATTCCATATATTAGAACCATCTATGTCAAGAAAATATAATAAGCAGACCAGTTCATTCAGAGATAAAAACACGTCATATGAATACAAACAGAGGAAATGGCAGCTCAGCGCATCTCCTTGTGACAACTGCAGTTAAAAATAATCAAATGGGATTAGGATATGTATAATTAACAATTGAACTGATGAGTATGGGCGAATTGTTGCTTTTACTTCATGTATATCCACTTACATCTCTTATATTTTATATCTATTCTTACACAAACATGAGTTGAAACGGCATCTAACAATGGATCAGAAATGCAAATCACATGTGCCAGTGAACAGTGTATAGACTTAATATTATATACAGGCATTCTGTTACACTGACGTTCCATTTACAGTCTATGAAATTTTCAGTCTATAATGCTACAATCTATAAAATTGATTAACACTTCAATATCGGACAGCGATTATCATGTGCATATTTTGTGATACTATATAATAGTGTTAATATATTAAAATATTAATGAAATGAAACGAAAGTAATAAAAGGAATTACATACAATTAGTTCGCAGTGCATTAGGATTGCTCACAGAAATGTTGCCTGAAAATGGCCTTCCATGGCCGAAACATGTTCATACATCATATAACATTGTAGCAGTGCATATGTGTTTTAGTTTCCGTCTCAATGTAACTTCATTACATTTCTCATTAATGACCAGCCTTTACGGAACTGATATAGGAAAGGAATATGAGACTTACTGAAATCTAGGCCGCGCCATAGCTCAAGCGGATAGTCGCTGGCTTTCCAACGCGGCATAACGGGTTCGATCCCGGGTCTGCTCAAGTGGGATTTGTGGTGTACAAAGTGGCGCTGGGGTACATTTTCTCCAAGTACTTCAGTTTCTCCTGCCAATCTTCATCCACGAATTGCTCCACAATCACCCTCACCTATCATCTGGGGCTGGTACAATAGGCCAGAAATGGCAGCAGTAGAAATGACTTAGTTCCACCCCACCAGAAAAATAATATTAAAGTCTAAAGGAGAAAAATTTGTGATAAGGTGAATATTTAACAAGATAAATGTACAATAATTAAGTGCGCAGTGTGATATCTTCAGAAAATGAGTATCTTTGTATCGACAGAGTGTAACCCTAACCAGTTCCCTTTACACTTCATTTCGTCTCAAAACCCTTTAAATTTGTCATCTCCTGGACGTGCTGAAACAGTGATAATTTAGAAAATTCCTTTAAAATTTTACCAAATTTTAAAATGTTAAAGGAATTTTCTAAAATTGGAACTGAAGATTTTAAAAGTGCCAGTTCATGAATGTCAAAATTGACGTGTGTGTGACAAAGATGATGTACGAATCAGACAAATATCAGCGAAGTAGATCCTGTTAGCCAATTGGGAAGACCTGTCTGTTTTTAAATTTTAAACTGGGTGCAGTGTAACAGCTATGTGAGTGTATACACCTGATGATGGCCGTTTGTGGCCGAAACATGTAGTGTAGAAGAAAGCAAAACTAAAAACCTACAATAAATTGTCGCACTGAGGACGGAATTTATATCATATATCGTATAGTCTTCTCGTTATCATGAATTGCCCTTCACATCACCGACAAACATATAGAGGAGTGTTTCTTGTACTCAAATATAGATTTTCTATAAGAGATAGACCAATAAATACGTGCATACAAAAAAGTTTACAGTAGGATTAAGTCAGATCTTTTGTGACTTGCATGTCAGAGAGAGAGGGTGACGAAACAGTATATCCTGCACCATGTCGTTTGAAAGTGATACGCCAAAGAGCGACTAACATAGTGACGTCTGAAGATGTGCTGTAACAACGTTCATGATAACTCTCGTATCTGCTATTTATATTGCACAGCAACTCTGACCACAAGCAGTGTGTGCGAGATGTTACGACAAGGCGTTTGTGTGAGTAGGTCGCTCGTCGTTGGAGGCCAAAACGCAGCGTTGCGCAATGTCAGCGCTCGTGTGCTCAAGAGATGCAACAGCACTATGGTTGCCACACAGGCCAGGCCGGAGGAGTGGGATTACGCCAAGCCATTTGAAGACATGCCAGGACCAAAGCCGTTGCCTATCATAGGGAATACCTGGAGATTTATCCCACATATTGGTAAGCTACTGTTTCGTTACTTCTTCATGGGTACGCTCAGAGTGAAAGACCATTCGTCCGTTTTTATGTGCAATTCATCACGAATCGGATACATGTGAAATTTAATACTGGAAGAATGAATACTAAAGCTGTCAAGGATATTAAATTGTGAAAGTATGGTTCGAGAGTAGTACATATTTTACATGTATTTCAAGCAGGAGTCAAGTTTCGAGGGATTAATTATACGAAACCAATGCAAATACGTATTACAGCTTTAAATTGTTTTCAGCATTGTGAATATGTAATAAATTTTCGAAGAAAATAGTGTGACATATCTTGAACTTTCCATAGTATGTTCGGTTCTTTATTAAACCAACGACGAAATTACGAATATTGTTGAAGAAAAAACGAGGAAACCCATGCAGTCTGTAAGACTTTCCACTATCCATAAAACTATATAAGCAATAGCTTTCGTTTTATATGCATACCTAGGGGATCCAATATTTAGTCACCTTATCTGCCTGGATTTCCTTCCTCGAATAGAGTCATTCACGTCCGAATTATGATCCTATTTGCGCCGAATGAAACCTTGCTATATTCGAATTGAGGCCCTGTCTGGGCCGAATATTCTCAAGTCATATCCGTAGAATGGATTCATTTGCGCCGAATGTATATTTTACATCAGTTGACGATTTTTATGCAGATCAGCTTACATTTTGCTCGCATGTTCGTGCACCGCTATTGTACATACTCGGGAACAGAACCTTTGTTGTCAATATGTCCCGTAATATTCCTCAGGATGTTAAAGTCCATCACTCTTAACTAGCTTCAACTTCAAGCGTGGTAGCCCTTGTTTAAGGAAGGAAGCGCAGGTTATCGAGTTATGATGACGTAAATATTGAATGTTTAGAAACGGAAAGGCATTACAGGCCGTGCTTGTTACAAAAAAAAAAACAACTAATCAGATATATTTAGAGTGAAGAAGGAACCTTCAAATTAAAGGTAAGTTCAATTTTCATTCACTATTTTGGCCTGAACGACTAACTAATGAACTAACCAAACAATAAATTATATCAATGTAAGGGAATCGACGTTGTGATGCTAATACTCTTTCAACGTAGAAAGAAACTGTTCGCGGTTTATGTAACTCTTATTCATAAGAACTGGATTCAACTCGAGCGTGTTCACACCAATTACGAAGAAAATTAATAATATATACACATTGGACTCCTAATTTTGATTCGTGTTCTTCGTTTCCCAATAAAGAATGGTACTGCCATCCTTCACCTCCTTCATGCATGCTATATATACTGCCTATCTAATTCTCCATTACCCGATTACCCGAGTATGACTACAAGAAACAACTTCATGACGTATGATCCATTTTGTTTAGCCAAATTACCGCCCACCTCTTTGCACATCGAAGGTTAATTTCCGCTTTAAACAAAGGCAGCCACTAGATCATGTACTGGACGATAGGAAATCAGGAAACATATCTGCGCTGTTAACACTTAAACATCCCGCAGCGCCATAAATTTTAATGTGTTTCATATAGATAAACTGAATCTATTCATAATCTCTATCGGCCATTTCGAAGGTGTTACTGAGTACCTGCTGAATAAGGGGACGTGTTTCACGACTCTCTCATATACCACTTGTCTTTCGATATACAAGTATTTAATGGTACATTTGTATGCAAAACCTCTAAGTAAAATCTTTTACAAATTAAGCCGAATTCAAGTGTGAAGCATTTTACACTATTTCCCACTTACTGTGTTACGAATTACAAGTGAAACAATTGTGTCTTACCCGTCACTTTGCAACATATATTCACGAAATCTTATAGCTTAATCCAGATTAATAACCAAAATAAGAGGTCGCATACCTAAGACTCGTCATTAAGCATATCTCCAGAACATAAGCTATAACCTTCACGGATGGTCGTCAATACAAGGCGAAATTCCAAGGTTACCCTTTACGTTATTATATGTTGCTTGAGAAAATTGCATTGGTTGTGCATCACATAATAGAAATGTTAGAATTTCATCCTCGTGTTTAATGTCCAACTGAATGCAAGGAGCTGAAACTGTTTGAAACTGACAGTCGCTCAATTTGCCAAGAACCCACCGCCTTTTTACTCGTACGAAAGACGAAGTTTCCTCACCGTGTTAACAAATTTCCACCTAAGAATCATCTCTGCCTTTACTCACTTCAGTCCAGGCTCTCACGCTGTTTTATATTAAATATATTTTAATATTTCTGCACCTGCATCCAGTGTCCCATCTCTTCTACGAGTATTGCCTTCAGGACTGCCGACTAAACTTCAGTGTGGGCACTTCTACATAGACTGCGAGGGTTTAGGATCTACCTTAAAAAATATCATATTTAGCTGCACATTTGCTTATTTGTTGCTACCAAACAAAAAGAGAAGCATAACTGTAGCGAAATGCTTTTTGTTTTTTCGCTTTTATTTTGTATGCTCTCTTGAATTTCAAAATTAAGGTACAGCTTTCGACACAATAACGAAGTAAATTAAATACATTATAATAAAATATAAATACACTTTAAAAATTATAACTATATATGTTATAAATAAATTAAAGTAAATTGAAGTAAATTAAAGTAAATTAAATATAATTTTTAATCAATTTTACTGTCCCCTTCAATCACTACATTCGTCGTTCGCATGGGCCATTATCACGTTTTATATGAATAAAAAAAAGAAATATAATGCATTGCGATCCAGTAATAGTGTATTTCATTCACTTTTTTCAATATTTATATACTTATTTATTTACTTGTTTATTTACAGACCATGTAAGGATGGTCTATGCCAGTGGTTCTCAACATTTGTGAGACCGAGGTCCGGTAAATTCTTTCTTTATAAGACGAGGTAACGTAGCGGTAGCGTAGCTACTGGCAGAGCCTCTTTTGCTGGACAGGTCAAAGGGTAGACATCAGACGAAGAGGGACACCAAAAACCAAAAACTGATGCCGGAAACAGCGTCATCAGCAGCGACTTGAAGCACAGAGCAAATGAAGCTCGAGATGGTTCAAGTTCGTACAGCAACAGGCATGACCAGAGTGGTTTGAACGGCTGTTGCACTGCGATGTGGAAAGCAAATGGAAAAACTACCACATTATCACTTTTCCTGGATAGTCCTGGATAGGATAGAAGATCGCATTAAGTGGAGGAACTGTTTTGGAAGAGACTGTGGACCTGTCATCTGACAGATTACTGATGAATGAATGAAGACGAGGACCCAGTATAGTTGATGCCAGGGCCGGTACCGGGCCGCGGCCCGGCGGTTGAGAAACCCAGGTCTATGCATCCGAAATATGTAGTGGTTGATTGAGGCAATAATATTAATAAAACCTCTAATATTTTATTGACTTTTATTAGTTTTATAAATATATAATACCGTGGCATGCCGCCGAAACGACAGAAGACACGTCAATTGATCGGTAACGGTCGTGATAAGAATATATACTTCAGTGGGAAGGGAATACCAGCAGGGCGTTACCTACGAAACGCTGAAACAACAAACACGTTTCCCCGGAAATGAAAGGGTACTACCAGCAGATAAAAAAGAACCCCTAAACACGATGCGCTCTATTCCGTCCGAGGGCAGGTTATAAAGTCCAGCTTCGAAGAGACTTTGACTTGACCGTCGGTAGTAGTCAGTAGTCATTCTTCAGTTTGACTTCGACTATAGCAGAAACAGTAATTGTGATAGTTGTGAATAACTGTACTTGTGAATGTAGAAGAGACTGGCCAATTAACTTCTTCTTTAAACCTGAGACCCGCGTGAGTTTACTTGTCGCGTAACAGAGGCAAAAAGTGACAATATATTTTGTTGCTATGTCTATCCGAGCGCGACTCCATTCAATTCGACTAAATTTAATACGAAGTCAACTAACACAAATTAGTGTTGAAATTCCTGATTCTTGAGTCTCTCGTGGCTAAATAGTTAATCATGATCTTGCGGCATTTAATCAAAGCTCTTTTTAGCTCATTTTGTTTCTGTTCCCATGACTATTAAAAAAGTAAAGTAAAAGTATCCCCGTAACAGGCCGTGGAGGCCCATAGAGTTGTGAGATGTTAAGTTTCCCATATTTTCCAGATAATCGGTTCATAAATGGCGCAAAGTTGTCAGCCCTACACGCCGGCCGCCCTTTAACCCCAAGAATATTCCAAGAATATTCCTGGTACTTATTTCTGTTAGGGGCTCCATCGACCCCAGGGCCATAGTACGGCTGGAAGGATTAGGTCAATTGAAAAAATTCAATGAACTCATCGGTACTTGAACCCGCAACCTTCCGGCTTCTAGCACAGTGCCTCAACCAACTACGTTACTGCGTGCCCCCCTGTCATGTTTGAAGATTTTTGTGTGTTTTTATGTCATCATTATCTTTTGACAGTTACATGAGAGTTGTTTACCTTCTAACAAATTCACCTCCTCTTTCTGTCCCTTCCTTTCATTATTCTGTTTCTCACATTTACGTACAATCGCATTCAAGAAAAAATGATATTCGCAATATTACATAAGGTAACAACGATAGTGTGCCCAATATTGTCTCCACGGGGAGTCTCCTCTTTAGTCACAGATGGTGTTTCTGGAAGAACTGAAGAATACTTTACTTTGCACGCATTTCTATTCTAACACATCGTGTTTTCTTAAATAATATAGCTAGGAAATAAAAATTTGTTACTCAACAATAAACAAAATTCAATTATACCAACAGACAGCATAGCCTGTGTGCAGGACTCAAACCCCGACTTTCATATAATCGTATCTGGATCAAGTAAAGTGTTCACTGTTTGCAATTTTATACGTGTTAAAGACTATCATCATTCATTATGTCTCCAGGATGAACTTCTTACTTAGGCAAAATATTCTTTATGAGTAAGTTAAACTGGTCGGAAGTAACCACAGAATTTCGCACTGTGTCCATTGTTGTGATTGTTGATTTATAATGAAGAGGTCACAAAAATACGTATATGCACGTTTACGATCTAC